AAGAGAGAGAGAGAGAGAGAGAGAGAGAAGAAGAGAGAGAGAGAAGAGAGGGAGAGAGGAGAGAGAGAGAGGAGAGCGAGAGCGAGAGCGAGAGCGAGAGAGAGCGAGAGAGAGAGAGAGAGAGAGGAGAGAGAGAGAGAGAGAGAGAGAGAGAGAGAGAGAGAGAGAGAGAGAGAGAGAGAGAGAGAGAGAGAGAGAGAGAGAAGAGAGAAGAGAGAGAACAAAGCCAACACCAACCCGAGACGCGGAATCGAAATCCCATCCGCCCATCGGATTCACATCGAATCCGGATCGAAAAATCGCCATCTCCAAAGGTCTTTAATGACACCGGGATCCAAAACCCTTGCTTATTACCGCGGCAACCCACAAACACTGACAGTATACGTGCGTGCGGCCAGGGATAAGGAAGGGCGTTGCTGAAGCTAGCAGTATACCATGCAGCCACGTCAGTCAATATTTACCTGTAAAGAAGAGAGAAAAAATATATAAATATATATATACAGAGAGAAGCATTGAAGAATCTTGTTGATCTTAATAATTAAGCCTTAAGAAGTATAAAGAAAAGGAATGTAAATACGGCATACTGTTGAAGCACCGACCTGTACAGAGCATACCCTGGCTCAACAGACAGATAAATAGTACAAACGGTGCAATCAAACAGACGCAAATACGGGGACGGACCACACACACACATGCACGCACTCGCACACATTCAGACTTTCTACGCACATACAAGTACATTATTCCAACTCTACTCCTATTCCTTCCTTCTGCCCTTTGCTCTTTGTGTCCGAGTCTAGAAAAAATGGATAAAGATAAACGATACGTCCTAACTGTATTTCTGTTTTATTACCGACAGTCGTGTTTCACGCTGGCATGTGGCAATACCATTGGATAATCCTCCACGTTGTCACCTCCCAACGTTGTCACCCTCCCCCCCCCCCCCCCGGCCCCCGAAACGAGAAGCGCCAGGCCTACCCGGGGGCCAGGGCGAGCCCGGGCGCCAGGCACATCAGCCATAAATACATCCGTTATCCGGAAGAGCGGCCTGAAGGCGACGGGCCGACCGGACGGAGACACTCCTACTAAGTGCGTGGCGGCGGCGGCGGCGGCGGCGGCGCGGCGCGGCGGTGGCGTAGGCAGTGTCGCGAGTGAGTGCGGGCCGGAGTGCAGGCGGGCGGCCCACCACCACGTTGTGACGGGCGGGCGGCCCGCGCGAGCGACCATCTGATCAATACCTTCATCCATCACACCACTGACCTTCAACACCCACCTTTCCAGAGCCAAGACCTTCGCACACCAACAGACCGCACGCTTTATTGTTTATCCGCGGCCCGAGACACGGTCCTCTGGCGAAAGCGTTGATGCGCACTCCCTGCCCTTCCCTTCCTTTCCCTTCCCTATCGTAATGGCGTATCCATCGTATCCCATCCTATCCACTCCTATCCTAACCTGATTCCCATCCATATCTGATTCTTTCAACACCCATCCAGAGCCAAGACCTTCGCACACCAACAGACCGCACGCTTTATTGTTTATCCGCGGCCGAGACACGGTCCTCTGGCGAAAGCGTTGATGCGCACTCCCTGCCCTTCCCTTCCTTTCCCTTCCCCAGGGGTATTCCTATCCTACCTATCACCCCATTCTATCCTATCCCACCCCATCCTATCTTATCCTATCTCTAAAGCCCTTCCCGCCGCCGCCGCATCAAAGCCCCCGGCGCCACAGCCCAGGACCCGGGGAAGTGCGTGATACAGTGGCTCCGACGCAGAATACGAAGCCTCCACAAAGGGTATTGCTCCCTTCCCTTCCCTTTCTCCCCCACCCCCCATTTCACCCCCCCCCCCTGAGCCCTCCCGATCCGTGTGGGCGTCTCGACTCTTCTATCGCGCGGGGGATTGCGTAGTTGCGAGCGGTCACGAGGCCCACGCGAGCGAGCCTCCCCAGCGAGCGCCCAACTACGTCTCACCCGCCCCGGGCCACGTCCCCTCGCCGCCGCCGCCGCCGCCGCCCGCTCGCCCGCCCGCCAAGTGTCGCCCTCAACACGCGTACCACACAATGCCTCCAACCTCAACCACTCGCATCTTTACTTCTCTTGTTTCTTACTTCGAGGAAAATGAAAGGTTCGCAACCCCTATCCTCTCTTGCCACTTCCACAGGCCTACCTTCAGCCGCAGACCCTCTCTCGCACTCCCTCCATCTCTACGCTCTCCGTTCTAGGTAGACAACAACAAAAAAAAAGCGTAATCCTTCACACTAAAACTCCCCACGCAGTTATCGTGACCCCCCTCCCACACCGCCCCACCCCCGCTCACTCACCCCAAAACTAAGGATCTCTCTCACTTCTCTCTCATTCACTCGAACTTGAACTTCCTTCCTGCCCCCCCCCTCCTACCCCCACCGTCCCCACGCCCCCACGCCCGCACGGAGAACCGACCGAGTACAACAGCGTGGTAAAATTCAACCCATGTTATCACCCACACGACTCGGCACCGGACGCCCTCGCCAGCCCCCGGGAAGTCCCCTACGCCGGACCCTCCTTCACGGGCGCACCCCGCCCCACGCAACAACCAAACAAGCAATCAACCAAACGTACAGTCAACCAAATAAGCAATCAACAAACAAGCGCTCAACCGAACAAGCAAACGAGCAATCAACCAAACAAGCACGCAATCGGACAATCAACCAAGCAAGCAGTCAACAAACAAGTACTCAAACAAACAAGCAATTAACAAAACAAGCCATCAACCAACCCTCCCCCCCACGCCCACACACGCCCACAACCCACACTCAAACCCGCTTCCATGCCTTCCCAAGCACCCTGGCATCCTAATCCCCCCCCCCATACACAGGGCCACACTAATCAGGGACATGCAAGGGTACGTAAAAGCCCAGGAGGGGTGTGCGTAAGAATTAGGGAAGGAGGGAGGGAGGAAGCGTGTGGAGGAGGAGGAGGAAGGAGAAAAAAAGAGGAAGGGGAAAAGGAAGATAGAGAGGGAGGAGGAAGAGAAGACGAAAGAGAAGGAGGAAGAGTAAGAGAACAGAAGAAAGATGATGAGATGATGATGATGATGATGAGGAGGAGGAGGAGGAGGAAGGAGGAGGAGGAGGAGGAGGAGAGAAGAAGAAGAAGAAGAAGAAGAAGAAGAAGAAGAAGAAGAAGAAGAAGAAGAAGAAGAAGAAGAGAAAGAGAAAAGAGAAAGAGAAAGAAGAGGAGGAGGGTGAAAGAGGAAAAGAGAGGGCGGCCCATCCTCCGCACCGAATCCAGCGACGCATGACAGCGCACACAACAATATCTGTTCAACCTCATGAAGTCTCAAAGTCCCCGGGGGAGAGGGAGGGGAGGGGAGGAAGGGGGGGGGTTAATGGGGTTAATGGGGAGGGGGGGAGGGGGAAGGGGGGATGGGGAAGGGGGGAGGGGAGGAAAGGGGGGTTAATGGGAGTGGGGGGGCGGGGGTTAAAAGGCGCGCGGGTGACAGAAACGAGAGGTAATTAGCGTTAAAGAATAGGCGTATGGGCGTACGACCGTCCATCATAAGCAAAGTGTTCTGACGAGAGATAATGATCCTTTATTATTTCCAGTCTCAGAAATGACAATAATATGTTCATTAAACGAAGAATATAGAGACGATAACTACGCTAACAATAATAATAAATATAATAGTAATCATAAAGATCTTGCTAAAAACAACAATATGATTAAGAATAAACAATGAGAACGACGACAAAATAATTAAATAATAAAACAATAAAATAGAAATATCCTCCAGAACAACAATAATAATTACAACATCAACAATATCTACAATAATAACAATAACAATAATAATGATAACAAAAACAATAACAATAATAACAAAAACAATAATAATAACAACAATAACAATAATAATGAAAATAACTAGGGCAACAAATATAACAATAATAATGAAGTTAAAATCAAATAAAAATATATAAAATAATAATAACAAAATAATAATAATAATAATAATAAATAATAATAATAATAATAATAAAATAATAATAATAATAAATAATAATAATATATAAATAATAATAATAATAATAATAATAATAATAATAATAATAATAATAATAATAATAATAATAATTACAATAACAATAACAATAACAATAACATCAACATCAACATCAACACAACACAACAGCAACAGCAACAACAACAATAATAATAATAATATCAACAATAACAACAATAATAATAATATCAATCATAATAATAATGACAATCAATGACAATGATATTGATTAATGATATATAATGATATGAATAATAATACGAACAAAACACAAACAAAAAACAACATAAAATAATAATAATGACAACGATAACCATAATAAAAACAACATTATTCATATAACAGTAACAATTACAACGAAAATACTAGCAATAGGCCTAATAGTACCAGTGAATAAGATCCTAATAATCTAACGTTCCATTAAACACAATAATCTTTGTCTTAAAAAGAACTATAAATAAAGATGACAACACCAACAATAGCAACATCATATCCTTGAATTTAAAACCACCATTCCCACCACCACCAGAAGTAAAATCAGCGACAAAAGCAACACCATTACTCCTATTTCCACCACGGTCCCGCCACCCACCCCTACTTCCGCCACCATTAGCAATACCACGATCGCCATAATACCACCCTGTGAACAACCAGCCCCGCCGCCGCCACACGCAAGGGCCGCGTCAAGGAGCTTTGAAAAAAAAAATCTGAACAAATAGTTTCATCGCACCGGCCGCGCCCCTCTCCGTCGCCCCGCCTTGCACCCCAGACTTCATTAATTCGAAGGAAAACAAGTGAACGAGCCAGACGTCATCCCAACCCAACCATCTGTTGCTCTTCGATAGCCAGCTACAGGGAGCCTGACGCTATCCCGAGCATCTGTCGCTCTTCGATTACCAGCTACGAGGAGCCACGGGAGGGTGTCCTCGGCCACCAGCTGGTCGCACGAAAGATCCTTACCGAACCATCTGCCAGAGAATAAACCAGGCGAAATTGGGAGACAGATGGCAATGACTCACCACCTGGAAAGACGTCCAACGGTCTCCCACCACCTGCACGAGAATCCCGAGTAAAAGCCAGTTGGGCGAAGCGGTACCAAGGGGGCAATCGCCACTCTTCGGCCCCGCCAAACATGACGCAACACCGCTGGGCCGCCTCCCTCGCCCCGCGTTCAACTGCGCGGACAAGTACTGATAAACAAATACAC